TCCCATTTCATGGACATGATAGCAAATTAGTTCGAGAATTCTTTCAGAAACTCGCTCTTGTTTTGCCAGTCATCACTAGAACTCTGGGCTAAATAGACCTAGGAGTTTTCCGTTTGTGTGATATGGTTCATAATGAATTTCGATTGTAATTGGGTTGAAAGGTTCTGAATCAGTTTATCAAACTACAGAAAACTAAAGCGTCCCACAGGAACGGTTTCAATTCATTCGGATAGGTGAATAATTCGGAAATTATTTCTAGCTTATATTTAGGCATTATGTTTTGCGTGTAATATTGTAATCTGCATTTTCTCAGTACACTCCAGGTTTGCTAATGACATTGTCATATTTGAAGAAACATATGAATTACACGAGGAGTCTGTAAAAGCGTCAAGACATTCACTTTCAAGACAATGATTTTGTGTAGAAATCAGCTGGTTGGGACGAAGGAATAGACTTGCCTATTGTCCTCGCCTGTGGCAGTAATTCTCATTTGGTGCAGAGGTTAACTATCAATACTAGCAATTTCCATTTACTTAATGTTGATACAAGTAGCTTAGAGTTGACTGTTTCTAAGCCAAATATTTCTTTATATTGATGTTCATTTAGAACCCACACGTATCGCAACCAGTGGCACCATATTCAATCACTCTTACCGCGTTCATTGTCACCAGGCTACCTCAAGTCACATATTGAACAACAATCTTCTCAGTGATTATGTGACCAATACCACGACACATTCACATAACTACTGTTTATTTAAGTTAAGAACATACCAAACAACCAGTAAGGACACTATGTGATGGGCCAATTTACAAATATATTAACGAATAAAATGTAAATGCGAATTTGATAAGAGATTTTGGGGCGAGACTCTAATTTAAGGGCGAACTTTGAACGAATCTTAAATGACCCTGACAATTATCAGCTAATCAGTATAAAGTAAAAATATATCATAAGAAACTGATGAATTACAGTGGATATTCTTCTTTTACATGATCTAAAACTTGCTAAGGTTTGATAAAGGTTCAGATGTTTTGAAATCATAATGCATACGGTATAGGAACTCGTATATATGGCTCCATAATAGTCGTCCCTTAGAGCCGAGGTACGGTCTTAAAAAGTTCTTCAGTCTGGACCACATGGCGCCAGTTGTCGACGAAATGGCGCTTGTGCACTACGACATGATGCACATACCCAAGTCTATGTAGGCATCTATAAGCTCTCTAATCATCCGTATATACTGTAGTGCCCGGCTGCACGTATTCCTGTATAAATGGAATTTTTGTGCTTGCTTGCCGGTTTCTGACCCTCTGAAAATGCCCCTTTTGCGTTGATCGATCATAAATTCCAAGTACCTGCCAAGTATATCTACGGAAATGCTACTTACCCAATCTTCCTTGATAATACGTCCCCTGTTGTATTTTCGCTTTCTCACTACTGTTTCATCTATCTCCACAATACATCCTACTACTCCGAATGATTGGTGTAGACGTGTCATTTTAGTTGACATATATCACGGCAATACTCATACCACTGGACTGCTGAAGTTTCAGTAACATATGCAAACGCCGCAGCCAGTGTTACTGGTGTCTTTATTATCCAATTAGCAACTATTATCATGATTTGCCTCGGTTTCAGTCACGATCGAGCAAAGAAAGTCCTCGTTTGAGCAGACTTTTTCCTCCAACATGAAGAACAACGAAATACAGTCTCACCACGGTGGTCTGCACACTTTACTGCAGTCATTTGATAACCACAGTCGCAGGTACAAGAACTTCTTAGTAGTCTTATCCCTTGTAGCCTCTCAATAATCACCTCTTCTCTAAAATCCACTGCAAACTGATCGTATGTGAGCATTAGGTGTTGAATTTGGCTCCGTGACCTTGAAATTGTTCAAACTCTTCTGATTGGCTTGTCCTTAAATTAGAGTCTCGCCCTCAGTTAACTCCCTGACACAAATGAAACTTAATTTACCTTAGACGAATATCTACACCAGATACCGTCTCAGTGTCCATTATACAGGACTTCAACACAATTCAGATAAAGAACACGTAACTGGTCTGACTAAAACGTAGGTACATTTACACGATAACCGATAGCAATCACAATAATAATAAGGTTAGGAAGACGTATAATTCATCTAATACCTGTCAGACTACCTACTAGTCTGACTAGACAAACAACCAATCATCATTTTCCTCGGCCACACCTCATTAATATGGATTTTTGGATAATTGTTTTCTCCCAACAAACACAAGTTTATCACGAAGTTAACCACTGGTTTGCCTGAAAACTAACTCACAATCAAAATCTAGTACAAATCACACTTCGTTAGAAATTCGAATTAGTCATGTAATATGTGGGTACAATTGTACTCAAGAATCACGTCAATGTCACTAGTTTTAACTCTGTGGTAAAATCAGATACCTAGGGGAGATAAAGGAGAATATAAAGTTATGTCAAACAGAGGATTGATACAGTTACGTTCTTCCTAGAAGTAGAATAGCTCAAATTAACTACCTGATATAAGTCAACTGCATAGCCTTCAATATATCAATTTGTCTAAGAAACACACTGATCACAAACAAAATGATACGTTATATAAATGTCATTATTGCAAAAACCCACACTTATTACTACGCAGTTATAATTGATCTTTTCTATGCTTAACGTGATAACCAGATAGTTATTACACAGTCATTCCTTTTCGAGTGACTGGAGTATTGGTCTATTTCGGTATTATTACATTTATCTTTGGTACTATAACAATAAACCTAATCCCTGAATTGTAGACTCCTCACAATGCGACTATCTAATCTATAAGTCACGTCATAACCTACACTGACTCGTCCTATCGTAACAACCAGAAATATGAAGCTTAGCACTTCAGAAGAACAAATTTGGGCTGAGTAGATATTAATATATTTAATGCAAGATGCAATAGATTATATCGTGACCACGCCTACATGGCTGAGTAATTCCATTTCGACTGACTGTTGCCGCGTTCACAATTGTTAAACTTCTAGTATAACATGTTGAATTTAAAACTTCTCAGTAATTATATATACGGCTTCAAAGAACATGTGGTTAGGAAACAATGTTAGCACAATATGACGAATAAACTATCAGGGCAATATAGCAAGACAGAGAGACCAGTTAAGGACAAACCAATCAGAGATCCAAGAACATCAGAACAGGTAGGGCGAATACGTCAAAGATCTCTTGAATATACCAGCTCAAGTGAGCCCGCCACACATCGAAACAGCACACACAGACCTTACTACAGCTGTCGCTCCACCAATGATTGAAGAAATTAACACGGCCATCGTACAAATCAAGATTGGGAGAGCAGTAGGACCTGACAATATACCAGCTGAAGCATTGAAGTCAGATATAGAAGTAACTGCAAACATGTTCCACGTTCTATTCAGGAAGGTTTAAGAAGAGGGACAAGCGCCTACAGACTAGAAAGATGGGAACCTCATCAAGACACTAAAGAAAGATTTGTATTTCATAGATCTTCTATCCCACAAAGCGAAGACCACATTCCTACAGTCGATGGATACATGGAACCGAAAATTTCTGTCGACCAACATCAAAGTCAGAATCTTCAACACGAAATTCGAGACAGTTCTACTGTACGGAGCTGAAACTTGGAGAGCTTCAACTATAATCAAAAAGCACAAGTATTCCGGCTGAAGAGGAAATTAAGGAAAGACGCTGGAGGTGGATATGACATACACTGAGGAAGTCATCAAAATGCATCACAAGGCAAGCGCTAAGTTGGGTTTCTGAAGTGAAACTGTTATGTACTTATGGACTGTCATTATACCATATAACTAAATCGCCAATCACAACATCGACTTATGCGATTTCAGCCGTGCCGAACCAATGACGCGTTCATAAGCACATGCAGCCCAGGGATATGTATACATGGTCTGGTCACTTAATAATCATCCAATAATATATGCATTAATAATCCATAAATAATTCCTAAGAGTTGCAATGTGGCCACTAGTCTAAGTGACTCGACACCGCGTACACTATTTTGGAATGTAAACTGGAGTAATATAGGTAGTCAATAGGAACATCTAAAACCTACAAGAAGTCGGTCGTGGATGTAAAGAAAAGCGTATAATAGTGGAATAAACACAAAGAATTTGCAGGATTATCGCATAATAATTGAGCTGAGCTTGAAAACCTCAACATCGTAACGTGAGAGATTCAAGCACTACAACCTAACTAGCCCAAAATATAAAATCAAACTTGGGAATTTACAAATCCGTGCTCGCTTGATATTTTGTTGTAAGTTGTACTGTCGTATCAATAACTTAACAAAGTGTATTTGACAACTAACTAAATCACAACAGTCCTTTCGAAAATAATGGAAATCAGAAAATTGTCCACGAGTGTACATTACATCAATATCATTGAATTACAGGACGCACCATATTGTGGAAAAACCCTTGTTCGAAATTTGTAGGTTTTGAATGGATATTCTTACAAGATAATTAAATCTAAGTAAAATACAGAAAAGTAGTTTTAGTCACGAGAACAGGACAATCAAACGAAAGAAGAGTAAGTACTTATAGGCTTAAATTTTCGTTGAAACAGTTTGAAATTAAAGGAAAAAGTTTGTGCGGAATGAATATTTGTTAAACAAACCTCAGGCTACTAATCATTTTTAAATAATACGGTTAGAGGACAACAAAAAATATCAACTTTATTGAAGCGTTGACAGATGGAAATTAATCTTCAGTAGACACTCAGAGATTCTTCAATGATAGAAGTCACTTCAACCGAAAGCCTAGTATAACAAACACTCTGGGCCTGCCAACATGATCTGTCAATTGATGCAGATATACTACAATTACCGTCTTTATCTGGAAAGTGGTTTTTAATGTTATTTTATATCAATTGCAGTTAAATATCTTACTTGTATTAGACTCAACCACCCTCATATGTATACACCCAACTCTGAGATGAACAGCAAGAAAAAGCAACGTACAATGAGATTTTAATTTCTCAACAATTCCTGAAATTAACTGTACAGTTTAAGATACTGCGAACAATAAAACACTATCTTCATCATTTGATTTACTGAATAACTAGATGAATCTTGAAAAACAGAATCTACAGTGAAATTAGAAACTACAGTTACATGTGGAATTAAAGCGTTCGGTAGAAAAAAATTGCTAGGAAAATCTTTAGGAACATAATGAAGTACATATTCATTTTGAACTGAAGATAAAAATGAACGACAAGAATAGAGATGAGAACTCTATGTCTAAGTTTGACTGTACAGTAAGAGATAAGGCGTGTTTAAAGATTCAGAGTAAATATCTTCTAATGTTGTATAATCAGCATTATCATCATCAAACAATATCCACTGCATACCAACTTTAGCTACACAAGTGTAGTGACCACAACTAACTGATAAGCCACTATGCAAAATCATTGCTTGTAGACTATAAGTTCTGGAAGTGAATTTAGATTTAGCAGAATCATTTGTTGCAGAGATATCGTTGTACGTATAGGCTTCTGTGTTTGAAGATGACACTGTAACTGATAAGCGTTCTGGTATATGGACACGATGCATAATTTTTGAACATGTTTGATTAACTCGAGAATATTTAAAAACATTTAGACAAATCAACACATGTGATGAAAGCTGCTGTAATTTTAAGGATCTAGCTTGAACCGTGTGTTTACCACATGATTCACATTTTGTTGATGAAGCAACATGTTCAATTCGAGTAAAATGTGTTTGTATTAGAGTAGACAAATCTGTTCCAGGTTCGGTAATTTCTTCTTCCACTAGTTCCGAATCATTGGACTGTAGTGATCAATAAAAAGCACGTAAAGTATGTGTACTTGATGTTAGACTAAATAAAACAACTGAATAATTTGGTTTCGTAAAAAAGAAAAGGCCAAGACAAGTACTATTCAGCAGTAGTGTTTCATAATACTATCATTGTCAACAACAGAAATTTCGAATCAGAAAACAAATAAAAGGTTGCTGTCTTATTCCATAAGAACATAGGATGTAAGTTGAAATAAAGATATTTCAATATGATAGGAACGGACTAAATTTCATAGTAAGGTCGAGATAAAATTAGCGTGTTAATAATTTACAAAACTCGAAATTACCAATTACTTGCGTTTAAAGTGACAGTGGACAATATTAACCTTTTATGTACTCTTGTCAATAAGTACGTTAAATCTGTCCAATTATGCTGTCCTTTGACAACATTTATCCGATGAACAGTAATTATTTGCCAAATCGAATTCAGACCATAAGTGTATGGGTCCAATTTGCTACATCATGTTAGTACAGCGAGATGAAATCATCAGGTCAAATTACAGGGAAGTAGAAGTAGTGACATTATCAATGGTAGTAGGAAAGATGGAAGATGAACAAAGAGGATGAGAAGATTATAAAAACATCCTGTAGATCAGCACAGTGAAAAGTGCATCGTTCACTGAAGTCTCAGAACTATCTTTTACGACACATTCACAATGATATCATCAAAAATACCAGTTAAAGAAGTACTTTTTTTCGCGCAACCATAAATGCACAGAAGTGAGACTATAATTTACGAGTAATAGTAAAGTGACCACGAGGAACGCCGAACACTTACTGCATTCAAACAAGGATTATGAATTAGTTTCAGGTATTTCATTACGAACTGAGAACTACAGTGTCGAAATCCTAGTTAGTTATATAGATCAACGGATTTCAAGTAAAAATTCAAGAGTTGCTACCATGAATCTGATCGATTTGTCACTAAATTAAAGCCCGATTTCGCCAAGTAGTTAGTCTTTACAGTTAGTAAAAAGATCCATCAAGTAGATGTTTATAAAAAAGGTTAACTGATTCAGGTTTTTACTTGGAGTTTATCAGATCTTTTTGAAGAACTCATTTATAATATACAAGTTTGTGTACTTCGTTTTGAGCTTTACTTCATTGATATGATGGTACTACTTGAACGTTCACACTAAATAATGTGAAGCGATAATTAAACTTTAAACATGGGTTAGTGGCTGAATGCTTTATCTACTACTAGGCTTATGAGACATCAGTTCACAACCGTGACACTTGAAATCCTGATGGAGATTTATAGCTTTGCTGGTTAGTTTGTTCGTGAAGCCTAAATTGTTATCCTTGACAACATCACATAGGAGCGAGGTATTCGAATTCATCAACACATGATTGACGTATTTTATTGTCTGCACATTTAATTTGACTTTCTTTTCTATATGAAGTTTTTGCTGGTGTTACCCAGAAGGACAATGAAAGTGTCACAATTAAATAGCCTCGGTTAGCGACTGAAATGATACCAACATGATATAAAAAAATATTAATATAATGCTTCAAGCTTTCAAAGTTCATGGTTTTAAAGCCAATTGTATCATTCGATGAAAAAAATTGCAGTAAACTAAACAGTTCTTTTAACTACAGTTTACTTCTTCGCATGAAAAGTTTCAACGTGATGGGTTCGTTGGGACAATTATAGTAGTCGTACTTTGTACTATAACATTTTCCGGGTGCCAATATATAAAAGGTGAGTCAGAAAGAGGGAGGTTATGTCTTTTTGATGTAACACACTATACTCCCTAATCATATTCAGTAGTTTATATCTGCTAGCCAAACTTGAAACTTCTACATACTTCTCTAAGACAATCAACTTTATGACATTGTTTGGATGTTTTAATTAGTTTCTACTCTACATACTATTTCTACCTCCTTTTTATAATAAATAGCATATTTTCTGCCATTCGGAAGCTTTTTTGATGGGAATACCTTCCCAATTTGTTTTTAGTAAAAGTTCGACACAGAATTGTGATGTTACATGAATCATAGATGGACTTTCTACTTGGAATTCTTTGACAGTGTAACGGAAGTCTGGATATCCCACGACTGGAGGTCTGTAATAAATCTTTACAGGTTACATGGCTTTCCCTAACAGTACTGTTTTCGAGACGAATTCCGTTGTTTTGATTTTGAGACTTCACGCGCTACTCGGTCAGTGATTTGGAACCGTTGAAACGATTCTATATATAGAACATTGAACACAAAGCTGATGTAACTTAGTAAGTACGATCGAATTTCTGCAATAAGTCCTGAACTTCCATCTATTGTGAAAAGGCTAGAAATTCCTCCTTAACCCCACCCGTAAACCTAAGTAAATGGACTGTTGCTTGAAACCTGTTATCCAATGGATAAAGGTGCATAAAGTAAACCGCTATCCCATGGGAGCAATATTTAGTTCTCTTACGTTTTAAAGCTCACTGAGTAAATTCCTGAGAATAATTACAGTGAAATGTGAAAGAGATAGACACAGACTTACTTCAGGAATTTTGGTAACAAAACTTGGGTTTTCACTAGGTGCCTGGTCTTGATACAGCAATTCTTGTGGTTTAGTTAGTGGAACGTATAGACAAATAAATTGTTCTTGTCTAGAACTAGAGACATGTTGACACTCTACACAAGAAGTGTGCCTTAACATAGTACCTCCAAAAAGACGCGCAACTGCCGACGATGATGATAAACCAGAGTCGTCATTTAAGGTGTTTTCACCAAGGTTCTGTATAGATTCAGTTGAACAGGACTGTTTATTTGTACTGTAAGGACAAGATGGCTTTGGTTTGAAATCCGCGTCCGTTGTAGATTGAATATATCGATCAGCCGTAAAAGTTGATGAATTGCTATATCACAATAATTAGTGAAATATAAGAAGCATAAAAAACAAAACTGTAAGCTAAAATTTATCATTACAAATAGGATACACAACTAACCGTCAAAGGAAATTTATTATCATGTATTTTACAAAATATAATAATAATAGGATTTCTTTAGCCGGTTTACAGGAGTAGTATATAGAAACTTATATGAAGAAATTCATATGATGGTAGAAATGTAAAGCACAATTTATTGTGAGTTGTTCAGTTGAGTATACCTAATTAGTAAAACAATCTATATCAGTTGACTTATTTTCCGAGTGATTTAAAACTGACTGTACTAACCTTAATAATAAACATATAGAGCCGAATTCAATGGCTCAGAATATTTAACATAAAAGTATTACAACGGAACACTAATGAAAGTTCTGGTGTAATAGTGCAATAGTTCAATAGTAAAAAGGTCAAGGCGTGGATTATGTAAATAATGGATAATGCAAAACACATAACCAGAAAAATGATGGCAGCAAACAAGGTAGAAAATAGGTGACTGTCAGCATCCATTTCAAAGGATCTTGAACTATTTCACCGAAATAATCTAGCTACCTATTACAACTACGTCATACATTCAATCTGAAAAATTTCAGTTTACCACAAACTTGTAACTCATTTAGTGGGTAAAGGTTTATCTACTCAGCTATGAGCTATATTGTGTAAGAACTCTAGAAATACCACCATGCTGGATAAACGAGAGATGTTCTGTGTACTGGTATTGTTGTTTGAAAAACCCACAACTATCTGTCATTTTTATCAAGTAGATTACCGCTTTAAAATAGGTGGGGGTCAATCAGATTCAAAAACTTATTGATATGTTTGGTGAAAGTAAAGTGTGATTGTCTATTGCATATCGACAGACACACACTTATGTTTCACATAAATTAGACTATTTTATATTGTAAACTGCTTGTTCGCCTACTGCCACTCCATAATTATATCAGTATACGTTTTTATGATTGATATATGATCCGGTTGCATCTTGCGTGTCTAGGTCCGCATGATTTAATCATAATCAGGATATTACATTTATTAGCTGACTACTCAACTGACATGCTACGTCCTCATTTTATCTGGTAAAAACGACTTCTTTCCGATGATATCACAAAATTCCAGCGAGATTGATTTAACTACGTAATTGTTTAGTTTTGTAGTACTAGATTACGGAAATAAGGACACTTCACATTTTTATACATCAACAACTTTCTAAAAGAAATGATTTTTTCACAGTTTAGTGTATGAATTATGCCAATAAGCTAATCAGAAATTAGTACAACCACTTCAAGGTCACGGGGTATATACCGAAACCAGGATATTGACTATTGACCGTATGATAACTAATTTTATTAAGGAAAATATCATTTAATATCTAAAAGATCTTGGATTGCTGAGAATACGGGGGTAAGGTGAACGTAATAATCAAAATCATCAAAGAAATATTTCTTTGATGATTTTGATTATTACCCTGAAGAAGTCCAGACAAGTTAGCTGGACGAAACGTTGGAATTATTTAAATTTCAATCGCTGAGATTGTTTCAAATATAATTTACATATGTAATGACTTCTCTATACTCGGCGCCCAATATCTGTCAAACTATTCGTTCTAATCTTGACGAATATACGTATAAACATCCAAAGAATGTTGAAGTACCCATAACCGATATAATATATTCATTTATATTTGGTGTCATCTGATTAACTGAACAGAGATTATAACCCTCCAAGAGTCTTCCTTAGAATAGGCTGAAGTTCGTTCAAATTTATTTTATTTTAATATAGTGAAAATTCCCATTTGGACATTTGATAAATACAGAAGGAACGAATTGAGCGAAGAAATTTCTTTTCAATTAGTTTTTCATCATGGCTCTACACTAATATATATATGATTTACAATAATGATATAATACTCATTGAGTGGATAAGTTACGTAATAATTACATAATGACATTTAAATTAACATCTAGTATTTTGGGAGGAAGATGATTAATATTCAAAGTAATTATTAAGTTAAGAAGTTGCTAAGTTGCATAATATATGAAAAGAGAAGGAACAGAATTTGTAATGGTTGGTCAATAGAATAGAAGTTACGTAAGAATCAAGAGATGACTGTTGAGAAATTATAAAGTTTAAAAGAAAAGGAAAAAAAAATTAAAAACTATAAACCAAATGCTATAAGTATGGAAAATAGTTCAGTTAAATGGAATGTTATACAGATGGCCAAGGCAGCGAAAGTGGTTGGACAAATTCTTCTGAATGCAAAGGTCAGGTTTATGAGCATGGATTGCGATGGCTTCCGCAATGTGTAAAAGGCGCACTCGTAAACTATGTGGTAAATTTGATGGGATATGGTAGATAACCTTAAAAGCTTTATTCAATTCAACTTGGTGACCTGTGTCAACCAAATGAGCGAGAATAGAACTTTTAATCACTTTTACCTGTCCTTTATTTAGCCACGATGGATGATGTTCTGTAATGCGGTGACGAACTTGCCGAATTGTACGCCCTATATAACTGGCTAAGATTCGGAACATACTCAGTACGAATGGGTACCCTTTGAAATTCATTGACAAACACATGATGGAGAAGAAACCAAAAGCGAAGATACCCACGGTCCCGAAGAAAGTACTATTCATAAAATTACAATACATAAATGATACTACTGAAGAGATCGTGACCCAGAAACTAAGAAGAGCTGTACAAAAAACATTTAATGCAGCCAAACTGAATACTATCTTCTATAACTACCCCAAAATAAGAACGACTAGCAAAGACAGACTGCCTGAATTCGCCAAATCTATGTGTATCTACCAGTTCAACTGCTCCTGTGGAGCCAGTTATATAGGGCGTACAATTCGGCAAGTTCGTCACCGCATTACAGAACATCATCCATCGTGGCTAAATAAAGGACAGGTAAAAGTGATTAAAAGTTCTATTCTCGCTCATTTGGTTGACACAGGTCACCAAGTTGAATTGAATAAAGCTTTTAAGGTTATCTACCATATCCCATCAAATTTACCACATAGTTTACGAGTGCGCCTTTTACACATTGCGGAAGCCATCGCAATCCATGCTCATAAACCTGACCTTTGCATTCAGAAGAAATTTGTCCAACCACTTTCGCTGCCTTGGCCATCTGTATAACATTCCATTTAACTGAACTATTTTCCATACTTATAGCATTTGGTTTGTAGTTTTTAATTTTTTTTTCCTTTTCTTTTAAACTTTATAATTTCTCAACAGTCATCTCTTGATTCTTACGTAACTTCTATTCTATTGACCAACCATTACAAATTCTGTTCCTTCTCTTTTCATATATTATGCAACTTAGCAACTTCTTAACTTAATAATTACTTTGAATATTAATCATCTTCCTCCCAAAATACTAGATGTTAATTTAAATGTCATTATGTAATTATTACGTAACTTATCCACTCAATGAGTATTATATCATTATTGTAAATCATATATATATTAGTGTAGAGCCATGATGAAAAACTAATTGAAAAGAAATTTCTTCGCTCAATTCGTTCCTTATTTTATTTTATTTATTTGAACACATAATATTGGTACAAGAGGGCACCAAATATATATGCGCCACACAAAACAATGAGAATGGGGAGAGAGAAAAAAAGAAGGTAAGGGACGTAAAAGAAAAACAGAACAATAACGACCAGATTAGTGTAAGGTAGTCTAATAATAATAATAATGAGGGGGGGGAACGGAAAGGTACAACCAGAAGAATTCTTCCAGTTAAGTAAGATACAACCACTTTTTATGAAGAAAGTAAAAGAAGGTTACAGCAGGATCGCCACTGGCTTCTATTCTGAGCTATATCTGATCATGTCTCTGGCCACTGTGTTGCACCATCTCCCGGGCCCTAGCAAGGGAGTCGTGAAGGACCAACACAAGCCAGCCCTTTGCAGCTTTCTTTAATACCCCGACACCATGTCATACACTGACCATTTCTCCGCTTTTTCCAACCAGTCCCAGAGTCGGCAAATAATGCACGACGTGGAATTATCTGGGACGACATTTATGGAACATGTCCAAGCCACCGAAGTCGGTGTTTCAAGATGGTGGCACCAATTGGATTATCGTCTCTGTGCCCGAACACACGATGCCGAACCTCTGCATTACTAACATGGTGTTGCCACTGGATGTCAGCAATCCTTCAGAGACAGCGATGATCGAACACAGAGAGTCGTCTAACATCCTCAACTCGGAGAGGCCAGGTTTCACAGGCATAGAGCAAAACTGCTCTCACCTACGCGTTGTAGATCCGATCACATACAGCCAGACTGACATCACGAAGGCGCCAAAGATGACCCTGATTGACATAAGCTGCTCTGCTTTTCACTATACGTGCATTAATCTCATCACTCACGCCACCACCAGCACTTATGCAGCTACCTAGATATACGAACTTTACGATTACTTCTATCTCCTCACCATTTAGGGTGAGTACAGGATTAGAATCTTGGCAGTCTTGTAGAAGTACTTCGCATTTTGAAGGTGCAAAGCACATACCGTACCTACGGACGTTGATTACCAACTGATTAAGTGTGGACTGCATTAATTGCGGATTGGATAAACTGTTTTCTGAGCTGGTTGTTCGTATAATCCAGAAGTTTTGAACACTATTCCAAACTACAACAGTATCCACCTTCTTGAGTTACAAGTTGTTTGCAGGATAGAGTGATAAGTGTGTTTCAAGAAAAATCATATTGGAGCGCACTGACTGGTCCTATTTTTAGTCAATCAAGGTTAGTGGAAGTGATCCTGGGGGATCAATAAATTTTCCCTGACATTAGTTTTCCGTGTCGTTGCATTGTATTGGTTCCCAATTTCAAGCATTTAACATTAGGACCGCGAATAGCACAAGCCATTTCTATCCTCTTACTCCAGTATATAAAGAACCTTATGTTTCACCTTACGGAAAAATCTCGAACAGGAAACAAATAAATGTATTTTTTTCCAAACAGATCGTTTTTAACGTATTCCTGTCAGCACTAATTATATTGCATGAGGTGTAGATCACTTTTAAAAATACATGAAACTATTTTCATAATCTTTATACAACAGCAATAACAATTGAGAGACAGCTGACGGGTAGACTGTGATGTGACGATGTACAACCGAAGTAGTATCCCAAAACTACCAACAGATAGCTCCAAATAATCGCAAAGCAACAAAGCATTCAATTAAGGGGGTATTTACTACAGGAAAAAAGGGTGAAACATGCTAACAAAATATTGTCAAATAGAGATATTTTTGTAGGTTATATCAACATGTATTAATTGATCAATTTATTTAGACTGTGGTGCGTGAGAAAAGTAGACATCACGCAACTGACCTTAAAATAAGCTAACGAAACATTATCATTAGTTACATAGTTCTCTTGTTAATGCGATTACTCTTAGTACTATGAATGCTATTCTCCAGAACGAACTCCTATAATTGACGTTGAACAGTTTAGAGTCAATAACAAAAATGCCTATCAGAGAAAGGAAAAAAATTAGATGCTACTGAGTTTCAAGATAAGAAATCTGGTTTATCTAACGGCAGATTTACATTCACGAGCTTTAGATTAGTAAGGTATGTAATAACTCAGACAAATAGGTTTATTCTACAGAAAGGTTTTCATAATTGAAATATTCAAAGAACGATGTAGTTTGTTACTTTATATATATATATATATATATATATATATATATATATATATATATATCACGTTCAATTGGATCATATGATTGATACGAATCACTTGAAGTATATCGACCTATCTACTGGAAAAATTAATAAATAATCATAGAGAAGAACCAATCAGATATTAAACGTGAAATGGTCAGACTACATTCACTTCTATAGAAACAACTATATATGGACTTTTCTTCCACTAAAGAAAATATGTATTACACATATGTATATTGTGATACACCTAAATACTACTGATAATCAAACGTATTTATACATCCAGTAGGCCAGTGGTATTTCACATTGTTTCTATCGTATAAGATATGTAAACTCTACATATACAAGTTAAAAATATGACTACTGAAAACACTATACATTATAACTACGAGCAAATATGAAATCAAGCTGAAATTATTACTTGAGAAGTAAAATAATCTAAAATCATGCTGAATGTTTACTACAAATAACATTTATTCCATAGTATGAAAACGAACAAAATCGATACAATGCAAGTAGTTATGCGTAAGTTGCTCGGTCATAATAAGAGTAGAACCTGACACTTATTGCCATCTGTTAAAGTCGCAATACCACACAAGCAGATTAAGTGAAATTAACACATCACAGAATAACAGAAGTAGTAACAGTATCAGTGATAGTATAAAATATTAAACACAGAGTGTAATTCAGGGAGAAAGAATTCACAAAATAAAAGTCTTGAAACCCAGGAGCTAAAGTCGGTCATCTGCAACGTAGAACCAGGCACATATCTGCTTGGTCCAAGTTGCTTTATCTCATTAGGACAAAAAGGTGAAGACCAAATTCATAGAAGCAGTTACTTAAATGGTAGCGTCATATTAAAAAAAGTAATTTTAGTCTCACGGTTTAAAGGAAGACAAAAAGTCTAGACACCTACGCCATTGTGATCGATTCTGAGCCATGTCACTCAGGTCTCCAACCACTAGTTACGATAGTTGAGCGGACCCTAACATGGCTCAGACCAGAAGTTGGTGACTTTAAGGACTAGTGTCATGCTTTGGCCTGGTGACCCCTGACTTTCTTTTATCCGTCCCCAACACCAGTCATCATTGAGCGCCATAGTAGTCGGTGGTTGGGCATGCGTAATACATGGACTAACCATCTCATTTGATGAAGATTCACCTCACAAACTGATTTACCATCATTCCCTAATACACTGCGCATCTAACTTCATTATTACTTACCTGGTGACCCCAGGAACTGAAGCACGACAAAGAGTGAATGAATTCGCCCTATTAAGGTAGATGTAGAACTCCTACTCAACATCTCCAATCATCGGTTGTGGTATTCATGCAGACCTTAGCCAGGTAATCGGGACCTACCAACATGGCTTATTGCAAGAGATAATGATTTCATGGACTACTCACTGTCTTCTCATGGCGGGGGTGATATTTACGAAATTGAGAGGACGTAAATCGAATGTACAGTGATTACACCGGGTTGGTAGGTGAGATGGATCTGCCTAAGGGACTTGGAAAACCCTGATTCCAAACGAATTGTAAACATAGGTTCCACAGTCCTGAGGGAACAAATGGTGTGCGAACATATTCTTGATCGCTGGTTACCACGGGATTTTTAAGTCAAAGGCCCGGGAAGTGGCCCCTTAAGAAAACCACTTGCTTTGGTTTAGGCAACTGAAGAGTATCCCGGCCCACACACAAATTTAATGGTTTGTGTGGTGTGCATATGTATTTGGAGCCCTTTTGTACAAATGTTTATATGTTTAAATAAAAAAATAAAAAATCGTGGACTAATCCCATGTACTAGTTTGAGCACGTTCAATCTTCTAACCTACTTCTACACTGCGAGTTGAGTAGTGATGTACGGAATAATAAACATATCGGTAGTATGAATAGTTTTATTTGAGTGTTGTCGTCTTGCGTAGGGTGATTTAACGCTATTCACATTGCATTAAAAGAAAAATATATAACCCAATTGGAAGAAACAATTTACATAGGGAAGAATGAAACCTTCATTGCACAAAAACATCCATTTTGTATTTAAATAACTACCAAACACTTACCAATATGAATCGAGAGAGAGACTTTGTTGTTTTTTACAACATAACTCTTCTTCATGTAATCGATCCAATAAGTAGTTTAAATATTCAGCTGCATCTTGTTGTTCACCAGATACAAAATGTGCTGGTTTAGTAAGTGTAAGTACAGCTCGTATGTCACGGACAGTTGGAAGCTATTGAAGTACAAATATGTAAGAATAATTTTTCGTTTTTATTATACCAATATTTAGATTAATAATGTAAAAAGATCGTTAACACTTAGACTAATTAGAGTAGAACATATTGACTCAATAGAAAAACACTTAAAAGTCATGCTAATAAATCCCGACTAGTTGAACTAGAACGCAATACATCTCCGAGAAGTCACTCATTATTTGAACTGTCTTTAGATGAGCGTAAATAGTTTGGGGATTACGTTTTCAGTGTCACTGAAAAACAATTACACAAAGTTGAACTTAAACACTTGGAAATATTGCAACACGTAGACGCAATTAAAAAGTTTCCTGAACATCCCGAAAGGTATGTATTTAATGGGTCTTCTATCACACTTTCGTCAATCCAAATGCAGGTCTTATCATTGGGTCCCAAATTTTTTAAAAGCAACCTCTAAAACCAATAGACTTCATATGCAAATACAATCCGGAAATCTAGTAAATCAAACTCATGATCTTGTTCCAACATCCTCAAAAGAATTTCAGCATTCTAAATTCAAAAGTACTGGGCTGCTGTCATGGATAGATTACCACACAAGTTAATGATAATAATAACTTATTAACTAACTCCTGAAAAGAAATAAAGACTTGATCCTAAGTAAATCTGACAAAGGAACTGGTGCAGTACTCCTTGGTCGTCAAAATTATTTGGACAAAATGCGGTTAATCCTAGAGGATGACATAAAATTTTCCAAACTTAAAAGAGCAGACAAAACAATGCAAATCGAAAAACAGATAAATGATGTGGTTAAAAATCTGATAAACATAATCCTACCATATGGAGACTTTATTTAAGCATATTTACATGGTCTAAAAGCTTTTAAAACCATAGGGATTAGTAACAGTCGTTTTGATTCCAACAACTGCACGCATTTTGTAGAAATGGATTACAAGAAGACTCTGCTAAACGAACATCTTTACTCGGTCATATTTCAGACTAATCGTAATAGACCACAAGACCCATACCTCGTATGAAGGCTACTGACACTGCTTGGTTACCCGAATCGAAGTATTTAAAACATGATTCGACCCGAAGACTGAACGGTTGAAAGCTACTACTCTAGCTCATTCAGAAATAAGTGACAAAAATGATGAACATCAGTTCTCTTTGCTTGAGGCATGGGTATTGCATAAAATTATCGTCATAGCACGGAGTACGTAACAAATCTGAAGGTTAGTTCATCAAACAATGTCTACCTAGTCAATTCTAGACATTGTGGAATGCCAGTGGTAGTTTTCGAAGCCCCTACCTAAGAAATAAACACTAGTAAGTAATAAGCGTTTATAAAACTTAGAAATATGTATAATTTATGGCTAGGGAAAATTTCGTTAAGCAAAATGAGTAACCTAATGGCATAATCCAATCAAATCCCTTCAAGGGACAAAGACGAAACATTTCGGCTCAAGATTTCACATCTCGAGAACACTGAGACCAACAGAGACTGATAAGTGATAAAACAAATGAAAACAGTGGTATCAACAGATTTTAAATACATGCAGGATAAAGAGTACATATCTCTGCACTGACGCGACCAACTTTATGGCCCGTAAAATAAAATATCGGACAACCAACTTTAACCAAGATAGATGAGATCTAGGGAGTCTTGCGGAGACACATCAGTGGCCGGTGTTGTGTTTGATTTAAAATGTATGATGTGATTCTATTGTCGTAATTCACAACTATGACAAGATGGCAAGTGATTAGGTATTACTCATCATTGTAACAGGCACTTGAGAGAATATAGACTAACACTAGCATGATGTGCTTAAACTCATCGTCACTCGTTTATCCACTAGAGCGTGAGGTCATAAGTGCAAGTAAATAAAAACTGAGTACCTAACTACACCATAGAATTATTTCAAACACCGAATACCGAACTTGCCACCACAAAAATATTTTTATGTACCTGATACTAGTAATGCATTATAGTCAAAAATAAATACGCTACAAAATCTAATTCCGTTTGATTTTGTGTAAAAATTGAGCAATGGAAATTTACCAGTCTATAAATAAATAATGTTATAAAGCAAGTTAAAGGTAATGAGATTTAGGAATACAGCAAATATTTCATCAACTTACTTGATGTGTATCAAGTGACTGGAAAAGCGAAAATAGATGAGCATGTAAAATACCCTGATGTTCAATTGATGACGTTACATTATCTGACGAGCGTACATTTTCATGCAAATCTGATACTGATAAACTGAGATTATTCACTGGGTTTGAATTTTGGCTTGGCAAAACAAAGTCAATCTTGGTTGAAAACGAAGTGCAAGATGCCATAACTGTGCCAGTCGATGAATAAGCTTTGTGAAATCCAAATAAGGCCCGACGAAACTCGGAGCAGTGATAAAGTAATTGCAGAGCTGCGTTTGCATAACATGTATTTCCAACGTTTAATATACCTTTATAACCAGCAACTGAACGATTTGTCTTCATCAGTAAGACAAGTAAGGTCAGATAATAAAATTAATAATTAAAAAATATATTGAACGGCAGCAAATTTAAGCGGCATTGTAACGACTATCAACATGTTGTTCAGACTGATGTTAACTTTTTCGGTTTGAAAAGCATAAAGATGTTACGCAGCTTGTACATAAATATAAAATTATTATTTTAATGTCAAATGCTTAGAAACAATCTGAGAATCCATGCACCCAGGATGCAGATATCACTTGCTGATGAATGTCAGTTATCACAGGACGTAATTTCAAGATTCCCTATCAAACGTTTCCTCAGCCATTCAGTCAGTCATATGAGACGTAGAACCCGTCATATATATGGATCGGTTCAAATTGTCATACCACTTCAAGAGTGGGATAAAGTGATCAACACGAATCCCAGAGTCTTAGGAAAAACTAGATATAAACGATATAATTCAAGAAGAGAATGTTAATTAGAGGAATAAAATGATATAAAATAGTTTCCAAGCATAGTATCCAGGGCAAGACAAAAATAAAATAACTCTCAATTAGGGTTCATTTTGCGGTGTATCATCCAACACTTGGAACTATTGGGTACAACAAATGAGAGGACCTCAACACGTTATTCTAGACCTGCCAATATGACTGAATCAACTGATAAGAAGTCTTGGATTGGTCGCCCTTATTTTTTCCCAACCTACTACTACACTAGCAAACGTCCTGCGCCGAGGTGGGCGGTGGTTAGGGATGTCCAATTGGTGAACATTAACTACCCCAAACGCCCTGGTACGACCGAGAGTGGGGAGAGTCCGCTCTCCCTCTTGAAGTGATCTCACATGGCCACGCGTAAATAGCCTCCGCTAGGGAAGTCCGACTTACTGCCTCTTCGTGGTGGGGGTGTTATTTGCGAAATTGAGAAGACGAAAAGCGAATATCCGTCACTTTAACCAGGTTGGTGGGCACGGAGAGTTCACCTATGAGAGTTGGAAATCCCTGATTCCAAACCAATGGTGCATATGGGCTCCAGTATCCTGAGGGAACAAATGGAGTATGAACCAATTATTGGTCAGCGGCTACCGTGGGATTGCATCTCCTTATGATGCTCCACTGCCTTCTGGATCAGACCTTTAGGTCTGGTGCCCCCTTGTACCAATATCTATGTGTTCACATAAATATAAATTCATTATTGCTCACCCAGTAGTCCAAGCATGTGCGAGAGATGCTTTGAAGGTATGTATGATCAAAAGATAGTAGCATATGAATATAACTTATTTTTGAAGGCTGTTTCATATACAGAATAAAACGAGGTGCCCTACAGTAGCTTTTTCAAACATCATCCTGAACTCTTTGGTGGTTCACTTCTTTGTGCTGTGGTATGGCAACTTGGGTCAACGCAAATGTATGCCAGGATTTACATTGATGATGAGTGGTTAACTGACTAGTGGATCTTAGACCAGGGGACGTGACAATCAACTCAAATTTAAAGCATAAACTTTAAAATTCCATGCATTGAGCTACAACTCCAATGGCTTGGTGTGTTTTTGTTATGCAATATTTGTATTATAGTCTTTATTTATTTTAACACATAGATATTGGCACAAGGAGGCACCAAATACATATGCGCCACACAGATTTCATTTGATTTGTGTGAGGGCTGTGATACTGCCCGGGTGCCCAAACCGAAGCAGGTTGTCTAAGTGCAAACAAACTACTTGTCACTCAATATCTTATGTTAAAACTTAGTTGATACTATGACAAGCGAACTGAGGGATTGCATTACTCATAAAAAAGTCTCCCCAAACCCCAAAATGTAAGTATTATTGTTATTATTATTTACCAGGCAATAAATCTGGTTCAATCCGGCACACAATACAATCGTCGACCTATAAGCTAGAATGTCACTATATGAATGATATTCTGACAATTCTTTATATGCAACAATTACTAAAGTCAAAACCTAGGGAGATACTTACTTTCACAGTTGTGGGATGTATACTAATTAGTCGGATTGTTGAGGTTAAATTCCAACGCTCCCATATTTTTCGAATACGAATTCCAGCCTGAGGCCCGAACTTTGTTAGAAACTCCAATTTATATATTTTTGTTCGCGTACTCCAAATCTCAGGACTGTTTTCGTCGTTGAACTGACTATGAAATTTACCTAATAAAGTAACTAAGTGCTTCTTCTGTGTACATGTTCTTGACAAATCATTACTAGTTGAAGTAACTAGAGGATCAAGTAAGCGTGAAATTGTGTACATTTTAAGCAGAATATCTTTGCATTCTTCATTTAATGGGTCGTCAACATACATACTAAGCAGTTTGTTCAAAACAGGTGCTAGGTGTGAGACTATATCATCAGCATATTGATCATGCTTGTCGTCGCCACTGAGAATGAAAAAGGCCAAAGCGTATACAGTTGACTCGTGTGGAAGCGACAAACGGCCCATGAGTTCTAAAACAAATTTAAATTGCCAACACATGAAGTCTGACCAACAGTTGGTTAAAGACTGTGACCCAGTAGGAGGAAATCTTCTGAACATTTCGCACTGAAATCCAATAAGCCAGAGGTCTAGAGAAGACCGATATGTAGCTAGTTCAGACCAAGTAAGCCACAAAGTTAGACGACGCAATACCGTAAAACATGTCTCAATGTTGGTAATATGACGTTGACTAAGTTGATCGATAAATTTACAGATAGTTTCCGACAACAATGAATCGTCTGAGCAAAACTCCTGAAGTTCAGACAACATGGAAGCGACGGAAATGTAATGGCAGTCATAACTGGAACTGACTAAAACATCCTGAACCAAAGAAGTGACACGTTCAGTCAGTATACATGTGTTGGACTGATAACTACTAAGTTTTGGCTCTGTAACAAACGTAATTACTGATCGTGCGATGGACTCAACAAGTTCAATATCAAATGAATAGGATGGAAAATTCCCAGACGGGAACTGGGAAGATAAAGTTACCAAAACTTGAAAAATATTAGATATAAAGGTCAAGTACATATCATCACAGAGATCATAGGAAGTTGACTTATGCAATGACGACTTGACAAGAGTATGCTGAATAAGAAAGTACAACTGCTTGTTATCGTTCAGAAGATTGTAATCCAAAACGAACTGAAGCCCAGAAGATAAAGTTGACAGACATCCTGGATTTTCCAAGGAAGACTGAAGGAATATCACTGAATGGCGCTCAAGAATCTTCTTTATGAATGTAGACAAAGCTTCTGGAAATGAATTTAAAGCAAGTGGGGTGAATAAACTTGTGATCTGCTGGGAAAGATGAATTGTAGAATTATCTGACAAATGGGACTCAATGGAATTTAATAGATCACAAACTACACTCATATATAACTGAGAGTAATCATTTCTACTGTGCATATCTTGAATACAAGTGAAAACAACATCTTTAAGAAAATCCGTTTCATCAAGTTTACTAATATGATCCCGCAACTTCTTCAGAAGTATGATCTTCGTGCTTTCAGGATGGTTACTGACTATCAAACCTGTAATTATTTTATCCATGACTGATGATTGCTATGTATATGAAAACCACGCCCCAACAACAGGACAACAGATCCATCTACACCTGTAGCGCGACTATTCAGAAAGTGACTAATGACAACACAAAACCTTGAGATATAGTTACAAAGTATGTTGCTTTCAATGTACGGTACCAGATATTTAGTTTCTAACAAACACAGATTTGTTTAACACCACGTTCAAGGTATGCGCAACAATTTACAGATACGGATTCTTTCTGTTTGCTCCTAGGTGGATTGAAAGAGTATTAGAGTAGATAAGTGTGGTTTTCAAGTAGCAGCTGATGTGGCCAACACTTTCCTCTGATAGTGATGTTCTCAGGTCAAAAGCTCGCCAGTCATCCAAGCAAATATATGACACTGGTAGTTTCTCATGTCTCATTCTCAATGATGTCCTCATAATAAGTTTCAAGATGTAGCTAGTATGTTGTATTGCAGGTTATTAAAATTAATGAGTGGTGTACAGCAGTGGTGAAACTTCATGTGTTCAAATGGTTCAAGTGGTTTTAGGCGGAATAGAAAAAGCTTTCGCTTAACTGGCTTCTATATATAGTAGCATGGGATCACCGATACTTCCAGGCAGGGACCTAGGTACACTTACGATGAAAGGGGTAAAAGAAAAATGGTTGGTATATCATAGTGAGATACTGTCCTTAGTCCTTGAGAATATGTCAAGTTTTCTCCCAAAGGACTTTTGGAAAGTCGCTCGAACTAGGTCAGCTGGCGGCGAATTCCAGCACTTGACCACTCGTAAGAAGTAGAAGATGTTTCAACAGCCCGTTCTGCTACGTTGAGTTTCCGGTTTCTGGGTTTTGTGTTGGAGCTAAACTTAAGTAGGTACTTAGAGGGTTGTTTAAAAGTATTTAGAATGCTGTAAGGCATTAGTAAGTCACCTCTAAGACGCATGTACTCCGATGGGTAAAGTTTCAATGATTGGAGGCGCTCTTCATAAAGCTTGAACTTGAATCCCCGATCTGATTTCGTAGCTCACTGTGTGTCCTTACGCTTTTGGAGTGGGGAAGGAAATACTATGTTTCCTTACTTTAAATAGAGACCAATAAAACTGTTGAAGATTCTGTGGAAAGTTCTTCCATCAAACAGGCGAAAATTCTCTTCAATATCACCAATGCATTTCTGTCACAGTTAGCGTGTCTTCAAATAGTAGGATACCAGCACTCCTCGATCTTGGTATACCTTTAGACGGGAGTTGCTCAAGTTTTAGCTGTAATCTGCAAAATATCTCGGATCGACTACTTTGTACTTTGAAGTGTTAAATGTAAGTCCGTTGTCATCTGCCCAACCTTGAAGTCGAGTCACATCCTTCTGAATTGTGAGTAATAAATCTGACGATGCCTGTTATGAAAGATCGCTTATAGAAACCAAGAGAAAAGGTTCCATTACCGAAGATTGATGGATCCCTCTGGGACATTCCATAGCCTGAGAGAAAGTGAAGTTAACCCTGACCTTAGAATGTCGATTTTTTTAGATCCAAAGTTAGCCAATGAACTAAAGGTGATTTGATACCTAATCATTTGACCTTATTGATCAAACACATATGATTGACCCTATCAAAATCTTTTGAGAACTCAAGGTAAACGTTATTGACGACTGTGCCTTTTATTCCTAAATGATAGGAATATGGGTTTTCAAAATAATTGTCACATGAGAGCTGTATTTTCTCCTAAGTGTAACGATATTTTTCACTATAGGATTGTGGAGACTGCTGAATTTCGTTGGAATTATGAGCCTAACAATGCTAGATCACCTCTAAGAAGCCAGGAGCACCGGATGGCCTTTTAGTCATATATTTGGATTCTTCTGTAGTGCGCGTCCACGACCTCACGCGTGGAACTCGATACCAGGACCTTCAATCCCAAGTAAACGGTTAGTCTCTAGATCGTTGAGCCAGCGTCCAACGGTATTAGTGTCTGACACTAACCAGTTTGTGGTACTGCACGACCATCCTCCAATGTTTTCGTTGGGCAACTGCCTCACACCCGACACGATTCAACTCCACTGGTCACTGCATCTCACTAATTAGAATCCGGTGGATTGATAAGCTATTCACAGTAACATTTGTGCATACTCGTAAATGTCTGTTACATACGTCTGTGCTTCCTCCACACAGTTCTTGCCTCAGATTTTGCATGAACCACGTCTAATGAGACGTGACTGGGACAAACCAGTCATCTTAAACACTTACTGTTACAGTTTGTCAACTTGCATTAAGACGCTTAAAATATATCCTTCGTCTACATTTCATATTTGGTTTTTTGATTCTTTTGGTTTAAAGTTGTAGTAGCATCTCTATTGTTTCAGAATTTTGTTGTGCAAATTGCATTCCAACCTGAGTTAGCTAAGGACCAAACCATGTAATGATGGAATCTTTTAAGACAGGGTAGTATTTATGAGCTCTGTATTGTTCCAATGTGTGATTCATTAGGTAACCACATATGTCGAAGTCAAGTCATATGGTTACACGTACTTTTTATTGAGAAACAACTACGGAAAAGTGGTTAAATATATCACCTGATTTTGATCAGAGATGCATTGTTCCGCCTGAAAAATCCTTGAAGAAGAAAACTGTGTTACTACCATCCCGTTTTAACTTTCATTGTTCATATGTTTATTTTCGTGTAGGGGATTTTATTTAGATGCTTTAAAAGTGTGGCAAATTTTCAGGTCCCTAAAGTCTTACTCTAACTCTCAAGACCATCTGCACGCGTTGCATATCGAGGAGAATAAGTAATTCATAACAATTTAATGAACGAATAAAATGCATTTGAATTGAGTACAGAACTATCGAGATGGCCTGAGATGGTAGGAAAATTTGGTAGCTCAGGTGGAGTTTTGTTCTCTGAACTGAATGGTTTGGTCTTGGATCTGTAGCGTAGTGTCGAGTTGAGCTTGACTATGAACACCGCTACAAGACTACGTGCCAATAGACCAATAAGATTCCGGTAGGCCAAAAATCAGAAGGCAGATGATGGCTGTAGTCGAGATGTATTTGTTGGCGATCTCGTGGTAACGAAAGAATACCGAGATCGTGCCAAAGGAGTACAAGCGTGGTTACTGAGCGTAACCGAATTCGTACAAGTTCAAAGTCAACGGGAGAGTAAGTAAGTATAATGGCTGTCATTAGCACAGTTAAACAAACGAGCACAGTAAAACAGTCACTGGTACAATTGCATAAAATAATAATTGTTTTCATTGAACCAATCGCGTTCTGTTGACAAAAGTAGATCACTACAGGAGCCCCCCGCTAGAAAGGGTTTACACTTTCGATAGTTAGCGGTTTGATTCGTGGGACTGATCGGCAGAAGTGCGGTTGTAGGACGAAGGAAATTGGCGGAACATGAAGTGATCGTTGATCCTCGAGTTGCCAACGAAGGTCTTTTGCGCAGAATGGTACCAGAAGTGGGCTGTATTTGTTGGTCGAATTAGCATACCACACCAGAGTGGTTTGTATCCAGGATCTGATGATTGCGTTCGTAGGGATGCGAACCAGAAAACGCTGCAGACGTAGGACGAAACCACGTTGAGCCAAGAAACCGGACGCGACCATAACGACCAAGCGTATGCCAAGCGAATTCGAGACCAGATAATCGACTGAGTGCGTTGACTAGAGTGTGGGTGGCCAAACCAGCTTTTGCCAAAGTTGACTGAAGTCGACGTTATCAAATGGACGATGGTCGGAGGGGTGGGCTCAGGATACAAAAAAAAATCAAAAAAAGAAAAGTGTAGCATGCGTGTAGTATAGGAATAATCCTACACCGCATCCGTTATTGACTGTGCGTTTAGTCGCGAAAGCGTACGGGTAATCGTACTCGGCGACCGGAACGTGAGACGGTAGTCTCGTTCGTACTTCGTGAGCCTGCGATCTCATCCGAGGTCAAGGGTGGCGTGGTCTGCCGATCTGGATATGAGACGGAAGTCTCGTCCGTAGATGGTGCAGATGACGCGTGCTGTTGACCGGGACGTGAGAACGAGGTCTCTGATGTATCTAGCGTGGGATCCGAGGTAGACGTAGAGATCCCGCTAGAAGGTTTGATAGGTCGAGCATTGAGTCTCAAATTATCGGGTATGGCACTGTCATCGACGTGTGCTGGTTTGAGACGATCGATGCTGACGATCTCGACGCGGCCGTGTCGATCAACCTTGAAGGTCTTTTCGTGACGAGAGATCACGTGAAAAGGTCCTTCGTAAGGCTGTTGTAGAGGTTTGCGTACCGAATCTACTCGTATGAAAACATGTGAATAGGTAGATAACTCTCGAGAGAGAGCGACCTGTCGATGTTGTATTCGAGTTGACACCGGAGACAGCGTTCGCATAAATGCAAACAGTCGATGGACGTAGTCTGATTTACCGAAATCATTACTGCTCCGTGGTGTGAAGAATTCCCCAGGCAGACGCAATGTCGTGCCGTATACAAGTTCAGCGGCGGAACATTGGATATCTGCCTTCAAACTCGTTCTGATGCCTAAGAGAACGAGCGGTAAGGTTTCGTACCAATTGTCGTTTTCGTGTGCTCGGAGAGCACTTTTAAGTTGGCGATGAAACCGTTCGACTAAACCATTCGATGCTGGATGGTGGGCGGTAGTGCGTATGCGTTCCGTACCAAGCAGCCTGGTCAGTGAGGAGAATGATGCGGGCTCGAATTGTTGTCCTCGGTCAGTCGTGACAGTCGAGGGACAACCGTACAATGCTATGCATCGTTCTACGAAGCGGTGATCAACTGTCTACGCCGTAATAGACGTGATGGGAATAGCTTCGGGCCATCTTGTAAAACGGTCAATGCACGTGAGTATGTGATCATACCCATGCGATGGTGGCAATGGTCCTACAATGTCTATATGAACGTGATCGAAGCGAGCATCAGGCGTAGCGAACGTGCCAATGGGGGCAGCTACGTGCCTGTCCACTTTTGATCGTTGACACTGTAAGCATTGCTTTACCCACATACGAACATCTTTATTCATGGACGGCCAGACGTATCGTGCAGCGATGAGATATAATGTGGCTGCGATACCTGGATGAGACAATCCATGAAGGGCATCGAAGACGAAACGGCGATAGGC